GTTTCATTCTCACCAGTGTTGCTATTAGTATATAAACAAATGATTTATTTTTAATGTTTATTTTGTATCCTGTTACTCTGATGAATTTATTCATCAGAACTAGAATTCTCATGGTATAACATTTATGGTCTTCTAATCATTTGCACATAGAGATAATTTGATATTTTAACTTTTCTGAATCCCTTTTATTTCTTTCTCTTGTCTAAAATTTTAAGTACTGTGATCATGAGAGTTGTGACAATAAACATCCTTGTCTTTTTCCTGATTTTAGAGAAAAGTTTCCTGTTGACAATACTATTGACTTTGGATCTGATATACTTGGTCTTTATTATCTTAATAAGTTCACTAAATTGCCCAGGCTGGCTTTGAAATTACAGTATGCCAAACAACCTCCTGCCTTTCTGAGAATATAGACTTATACCACCACGCCTGATACTGTATATTCTTTTATAATGTGGTGTTGAATGTGGTTTGCAAAGATTTTATGAGAATTTTTTATACCATGTTCCCCAAGGATATTGGTCTCTAGTTTTTCCCTCATTGTGTCCATATTCACTTTTCCAGTCGGGGTAATATTTTGCCGAATTGCTTTTGAAATGTCTTTTCTTTGCTCTTACACGTAATGGAGGGATTAATATTAAGTTCTTCTTTAAATACCTGATAAAATTCAGCCCTGCACTCACTTCTGGTCCTGGAGACTTGTTATTATTTCTTCAATTTAATTGCTTTTTATTGAGCTGTTTTTATCTATCCCTTTGATTCAAATTTTTAGGCCATATTTTATCAATGTCTTTTAGATTTTTTATGTGTTGTAATTTTAAGTCTTTAAAACAGTCTAGATTTTCCCATTAATTAAAATATGTTTTCCAAATAGTCTCTAGAGATCCTCTGGATTTCAGTGGTGTCTGTTGTAATATTTCTGTTTTTGTTTCTAGCTTTATTCATTTGTATCTTCTTGGCTAAGGGTTTAACAATCTTATTTACCTTTTCAACTACCAATAATTTGTTTCATTATTACTATGTTGTGGGCTTTTTATTTTCTATTTTATAATTTTGGCTCTGACATTTCTTTATTGTATTGGTTTTAGAATTGATTTACTGATGTTTTTCTTAGAACTTGTGATGCACCATAAGATTTTTAATTTGAAATATCTCTGATTTTTAAATGTAGGTAGCCATTGCTATAAACTGCCCTCATACAACTGCTTTGGTGGATCAGGAGAGGCACATTGGAAGGAGAAAAAAAGCTACTGGGTAGTAAGATTGGTCAGAAATGTTATGTGCATTTCTGTATATGCTATAATGAATCCCACTGTTATGTATACATATGATGCCTCAATAAAAGAAAAGGGAATAAAAGAACTGCTTTTACTGTATCCCATAAATGTGTGGATGCTGTTTCAATTATAATTTGATTCTGAGGTTTTAAAAAAATTTCCTCCCTTTGATTATGCAAATATATTGTTTATTCTTCAAGTGTTCATGCAGTTTCTGTAGTTTTATGTCTTAATTATCTCATTATTTCATATATAATATTTGGGTTTATCTTGAAATAATTATACAAGCATTGTGTATATTTTTTTTCCAATTTGGTCCTCTGTACTCTTTCTTTCCCTCCTCCTGTTTTCTTTCTTCTACTCCACTGATCTTTCTTATATTTATTTGTAGTTGTTTAAATTAGTGCATTATTGATATGCATAAAGGTCAAGTTCAGTGTGATATATTCCTTAGTGCACACAGGAAAGTTTGTTCAGGTTCATTCCACCACACTTCCTTTGGCAGTCCCTCCATCCCTCTCAATCTCCTTCCTCTGCTCCACTGACTTCTCTTCTATTTTCATGGAATCTCCTCCCGAATTTCCCCTTGTTTTATGAGTGAAAATATTCAGTCTGAGCTATTTCATTTAGCAGAGCGTTTTCCAGTTCCATTCATTTACTAGCAAACACCATTATTTGTTTCTCAAAGATGACTGAGTAGAACTCCATTATGTATGTATGCCACATTTTCTTTATACATTAATCTGTTGGTTGACACTTTGGCTTTTATTGATAGCCTGTCTATTTTGAATTTTGCTGCCATAAACTTCAATGTGGCTGCATCCCTATAATAAGCTGACTTTAAATCTTTTTGAGTATATACCAAGGACTGGGAGAGTTGGGTAATACCTAATGTTTTGAGGAATCTCTGTTGCTTTCCCGAATATTTGTACTAATTTGCAGTCCCACCAACAATGTACAAGTGTACTTTTTTTCTTTATCCTCACCAACATTTAGTATTACTTATGTTCTTGATAACTGTCATTCCGAAGAGAGTTAAGATAAAATCTCAATGTAGTTTGTATTTCCCAAAGTGCTGGAGATGTTCAATATTTTTTTCATGTTTATTGTCCATTTGTATTTCTTTTAAAAAGGATCCCTTTAGTTTTGTCCATTTATTCTGTGGGTTATTAATTTTTTTGGTGATAAGCTTTTTGAGTTCTTTATATATTCTGGATATTAACCCCCATTTCTGGATCAGGTGGCAAAGATCTCCCATTCGATAGGCTCTGTCTTCATGTCTTATTTGTTTCCTTTGGTGTTCAGAAGTTTTTTTTTTATTTGATGCCATCCTACTTATTGATTCTTGGGTTTTATTTCTTAGGCTTTAGGAGTTTTGTTAAAGCAGTTGATGCTTGTGTAATTATGTTAAAGAGTTCAGCTTACAGTTTTATCTAGCACTTGCAGAGTTCCTTATGTAATTTGTTCCACTCTGAGTTGATTTTTGTGAGGGTGAGAGATAAGAATCAAGTTTTGTTCTTCATGTGTATGTCCATTTTTTTGCAGACTCACTTGTTAAAAAGGCTGTCAGTATTGTTTTCTGATAGCAATCCGTTGTGATGTGATAAGGGGTGGAGTGAATTATTTTGAATTTACTAAAACTTGTTTTGTATCATAGTGTATGATCTATTTTAAAGAAAGTTTTCTATATTGTGAAAAAGAATGAGTTCTGCTCTTCTCAGATGAAATAATGTGTAGACAACTATTAAGGTGACATGATGTGAAGTAAAAGTGACATCTAAGAACTTTTTGTCCACATAAGCAGTCACTGGTGAGAGTGGTGTTAAAGTCACTCACACTGATGGCATTTTTTTATTGGGTCCAATCTATATCTTTAGGCTGAATAGTGTCTATTTTATAAAATTGGTTGCATTGCCATTCACATATACATATTTACAGCGATTTATCTTCTTGTTGGTTTTTTCTATTTAGCAGTATGTAGTAACCTTCTTTGCCGCCTTTGGGTAATTGTTGCTTGAAATCTGCTTTGTCAGGTTTGAAAATAGCTACCACTGGGTTTCTTTTTTTTTCTTTTTCTTTTCTCTTTTTTTTGGCTTTCATATACATGAAATATCTTTCCTTTGATCTTATTCTGTGAACATCTTTGCAAGTCAGGTGTGTTTCTTGTAGACAGTATACATTTGGGTGTTGTTTATTATTTCAGTCTGTCTTTCAAGTTGGTAATTAACACAATGTGAATCCATGTTAGAACAGTGAGGCGTGTTTCTTTATATTATAGGATTTACTCTTAATTCTCATTTGCTTTTCCACACTTATAGTGACATTCATTCTTTTATATTCTCCCATGATTTATTTTAATCTTGTGTATATAGAATTCCATTGTGAATCTTCTGTGGTGATAGTTCAGTTATCATAGGTCATTTTATTCTTGTCTTGGAAGATCTTTATTTCTGCTTTTATTTCTGGAGAATAACTTTGATGCAGATAACAATGTAGGCTGGCAGTACTGAAGTAGGACGGATGAAGCTGGACACTAGAGGAATTAGCAAGAAGCAGGTTATTCTCTGCAGCCTGAATGCTGAGGCTAGACATGAGTTGAGCTTTATACCCAGTGGTGGGCAGAGGGGAGCTTGGAGGTACATTTTTGCAAGGGTCTACAGGAAGGCAATTTCTCTTTGTGAGTTCTCGGAAGGTACCTATTGTCTCATTTCTTAGAGCAGTCAGGAATTTTACAGATTATACCACAAAAGCAGATTATATTTATTAAGATCACAAGTAAATTTAGTTTTTGCAAGACGGAGCAGAGCAACCGGAAGTAGGGCATCAAACACATTTGAGCCATTTTGCAAAGATCTTTGCTGATATTTTGTTAACAAGAACAGTTGGGGTGAGGGTCTCTGGAGAAGCTTCATGAAGATGTATTTGTGGAGGAGGAGGTGCCACTACAGTATTTCAGTTTCAGTTCTTGAAATATTGCATGCACTGCTGGCCCTTAGAGTTATCCAGATGTGTTGACAGGGCTAAAGAGCTGAGCGAGAGGAAGGAAGGGACACAGGGGATCCAAAGCTTGGTGCAGCTCAGGATGTTTATTATTGGCAAGGATAGCATTTTAAAGTTTATCGTGCATTTCCAGCCATGGAATGCAACCTTGAGGTTAGGCAGACAAAATACTAAAATATGTTTTTTTTAAAACAATGCTATGTTTACATTTATATCCTGAATCTTTATTCTAGATCTATACTAGCAGCTTAACATAAGATAACAAGAACATTCCCCAAAATAACTCCACCACAAGGGAAGGACATGAAGTACGTCCACAGTCTTAAGAGGAACTGTTGGCAAGTCTGAGCATGTCAACTGAGCATGTGCTGAGAACAGTCTTCTGTCCTTGCTTGCTCTGGCCTGCCAAGAGCTTGGAGGACATTAACTCCTTAACTCCACCACAGTCCTTGAGATCACAGACACCTCCATCACAGATGCATTACCATTGATCAATGACTTGGTGCTTCTCTCTTGAATTTGTAAAAATCTTTCTTTCCTCTGAATTTCAACCAAAATACAATGTAAACAGGTTCTTTTTTGTCCATGTTTATTTGGCCTTCTAAATGCTTTCTATGCCTGATGTCCATCTTATTTCCACAATTAAGGATTTTTTTTCCTGGTGTGAGTTCATCTAATAAGTTTTCTATGTCTTTAGTCTGTATATACACACTCCTTCCTTCAAGACCTTAGTCACAATTGGTCTTTTAAAGTTGTCCTAGAATGCTTGAATGTTCTTTTTAAAGTCTCTTCTTTTTATTATTGTAATAAAGTTCTACTTCATCCACTTTGTCTTCAAAACTTAACATTTTTCCTTCTGCCTGATGTCATATACTGGCAGTACTTTCCATTTGGAATTTTATTTGAGTTAATAAACTTATCATTTCCAAATTTTCTGCCTTGCTATTTTTTTTCAGAAACTCTATTTCCTTGTGGAAATGCTCTTTCAAAACCTGGATTGCCTTCATTAAATTATTTCTTAGTCCTTTGGTTCCTTAAACTATTTTCATAATAAATTGTTTAAAATCTTTGCTCAGCATACCCTACACATCAATGTATGTGGATTCAGTTGTTGAAGAATTAGACACTTTGGGTATTAGTGCCTTGCTCTCTCATGTTTCCTGTTTTAACATGCAGATGTTCAAATAGATCTCTCTTCCCCTCTTAGATGTGGACCATTTTGTTGAGCAGATTTCTCTTTGTATATGCCCTGGACAGAGTGTAGGTTCTATTTTCAAAGCCTCAACTCATTGAAAGAAGTGCTGGGACCACTAACCCAAAGCACTTTAAGAGGAAAGAATAACCACCAGTAATAGCCAAAACTTAGAAGCAAAGCACATGTTGATTTATAACCAAAGCAAAAACTTTTAAAAATGATCTCCACAATTCTAGTATCCAATGAAGAATTGGTAATAATACTCAATGCCCAAAATTTAGGCATTAGTGATTCTAAAATTAATACTAAAGTATATAGGAAAAAAACTGGTGAGATGGAAGAAAGGAAAATAAGGATGACAAATGAAAAAGAAAAATAGTGCAAATATAAATTAAAAATAAGAAAACAAGTTTAAAGAAAATAAAAGAATTAAAGATTGTATAAATAGAAAGTGAAAAACAAATGATACATAAAAAGTCACTTAAAAATGCAGTGCCAAGAAAAGCATGTGATTTTCTTATCTGATGTAATTCAAATGTAGACACTTTCTTCCCCAACTTCTAGTTTTAGAATTCACCATTTTGGGGGTGTTTCTGGGGAGCACCTATAGTTGTACTGGTTTCTTCTCATTCTAGCCCAAACAGGCCAATACTGGTTGTAGAGTCTTGAATGTGGAAAAATTTCATCCATGCCTACCAGGAAGTGTTATAGGACCATTTTCATATGAAGAGGTAAATCATTCACGATATTGGTTTTTGGGTACCGGGGGATGGAACTCTAGATATAGTAGGGAGCTGTCAACAAAAATATCACACATGGATCCTGTGGTCAGTCTGTGCTGAAAACCCCAATTCAAGACTTCTCCTTTCAGTGAGCTCAGGATCATGCAAGATTCCAAGTCTCTGTGGTGTTTGGTCCCGATTTGTCTAAGCATGGTTGAGGTGGACTGCATGCAGGACCTGGGCTTGGTTGGAAGAGATTCGGGAAATAGGCTTTTCACAAGACTTTTCCAAGCACTCCAAAAATGTCCTGCCCCACAAAATCATACACAACTCATCTTCTTTTCTGTTACTAATCTCAAAACATCTGTTTTAACAGGGAGATGTTCCCACTGCCCTCCATTTTATAAGGCGGCCACCCAGCACACCATACCTCTTCCTGCTGACCAAAGCTTTCAACACATCCCTGTTAATCTGAACAAAAATGGTGGGCATCCACAATTCCAGTAAAGAGAGGCAGTCACTGTGTCTTGGAGATGTAAAACATGCAGAGATTCTGACCTCTCAAAGACAGAATCCCAGCATCGGACCTTTCTAAAAGGAGAAACCCCTCCTTGAATCACCAAGGAAGTGACTAGAATTGCTTTAGTTCTTCCTTCACATGCCTCTCAGCATAGTGAGATGGCCAGACCTGGGAGATTTTAGCACTCCTTTCTGAAGATTGTAGCAGCAAGTTTTCTACCAGAACCAATCCCGACACTCACTGTCACATAGTTCCTACAGGCACATTTAATTGAAACTCACCTCTGTTTCTATCCCTTGGTTGACCCATAACCATAATTTTTTGTAATTTTTTTGAGTGGAAACTGATGAATACTCTACCTTCATATATTGGAAAAAGAAAGAAAACCTTTTAAAAAAAGGTGGTTTTATTAAACTAGTTTCCCTATCCGTAAAAGTTTGATGAAAAGACATCTAGATTTCTTTAAGCCTTTGCTTACCTGAATAAAATAGTGGGAACATGGCTTCTTTTCTAATTCATGTGATATAATTCAGTCTCTATAACAAAATATCTTAGTTCAATACTAAAAGCTTATAATTAGAATGTTTTAAATGTTTAATGATAGGTAGCATATTACATATTTATATATACGTATATGTATGTGTGTATACAAGTTACACAGTTATACATATTATATATGTTATATATGTTATGAGGTCCTCTTATTTTTAGTGGTAAGTGATCAGTAGGGTTAGGTGTAATGAAGTTACTTTCTTGTGGAAATATGCACATCAGTGTGGTTTTGGTAAGTAATTTTCTATTTAGCTGATTTTTCAGAGGACATATGACTCTGATATAAAATGTTTCAATTTTCAAAGTGTACTTCTCTAGTTTTTAAGTCTAATTTATATCAAATCTGGAAAATTAGGTGTCTCCTTAGAATAATGATTAGAAAATCTTCATGCAGCTCGTTAGTGATATTAATTTTACCAGATTGTCTCTCAGATTCCTCAGAATGATGTAGGCCATTTGCCTGGTGATGCACATCAAACAGCAAAAGATGATGTAAATGGACATATAGAAGGTAAGGACCACTCATTATAAAATCATGGATAGAATGCTTACGTAGGACATGAGCACTTGCATGTTTTAATAGTGGAAGAATGAAAATAAGAAATAGTAAGGAGATTGAAATAGTATATCTTATCAAGTTGCAACCACAGGGTAAGCTGGAGTGTCCCTGGAGGAGCTGAATTATTAGGTCTACTTCCACACCTGCTTAGATGAGAGGAAAGTTGGGAAATAAGGAAGGGGAGGGGAGGAGTGGGAATGAATAATGAGAAAAGATGCAGACAACAACAAAAGAAAAAAGAAGGTGCACGTTGGTCATGGCCTGATAAAATGTTCCCTGGAAAGATCATGACTTCTAATGCACCTAAATTTGGGGGACAAGATAGGGAGAATTCCAAATAGGTAACTTAAGTGGCCAGGCACATGGTGGTGCATGCTGTATTCCCAGCAGCTCTGGAGGCTGAGGCTGGAGGATTTTGAGTTCAAAGCTGAGGGGTCTCTCTCATTCAGCGAGGAGGTCCACGGCACAGGGTAGAGGAGAGTGTGGCTGTGGACCAAGCAGGAAGCAGGTCTGATTTTATTGCACAGCTAACAACTATATATACTCAGGCAGTAACTAGGCAAAATATGGGCAGCCACCAATACAATTTCTTGCTAACTATCTTTGCAGCAACCAGTCATGGAGTGGACCATGGAGCAAGTGAAGGGACAGCAACACATGGCCTCACGCCCAGGACCGCGCCTATGGGTAAGCAGCCTGCTGCTCAGGTGTGCCTAGTATGAGGGGAGTGGCCTGCCACTCAGATGCCCTTAACATAGGCCATGTATGCAGTATTTCATGTACTTGACCTCACACAAAGCCAGCTCGGTAACTTAATGAGATGCTCAGAAATTCAGCAAGACCCTGTCTCTAAATAAAATATATATATATTAAAAAAAAGGGGCTGCGGATATGGCTCAGTAGTTAGGCACCCTGGGTTCAATCCCCAGTACCAATAACAAAATAACAAAGCAAAAAGAAACATCAAATAGGCCAGTTAGAGGAATTGGTTGAAGGTTAAGTATGCCGATGAACTCTCAAACTTCAGTGAATCATATGTTGGGGACCATGTACAAAATATATGTTCTGACTCAGCAGGTCTTTGGTTCTACATCCCTAATGGATTCAAAGAAGCTTCTAATGCTCCTCATCCACGTGCCACATTCTGAGTTGCAAGAGAATTAACTGCCTTTTAGAAGATCTAAATGAAGGGCCCTTGTTCCTTATTTCAGGGCATACCAGAACAAGTGAAAGCATGAATCTTGCTTTCTTTCAGAGCATGTCTCTTGGCAAAGGGAATGGACAAAAGGATGAAGGCATAAAAATTGTATTTTTAACGATTTTTTTAGTTATACATGGACACCTTTATTTATTTTTATGTGGTGCATAAACCCAGTACTTCACATGTGCTAGGCAAGTGCTCTACCACTGAGCAAAACCCCCATCCCCTGAAAATTATAGTTTTAAGATACAGTTGCTAAGTTGGGAAGAAAAAGTAGTGGAAATAATCCAGACAATAAATGTAAAAAAGAATCAAGACCACAGATGTAGAGGTTGTTTTTGCAAAGCAAAGGGAAGAGGAAATGAGGAGGGAACAAAATAAATTAGCTAGGTAATTTCGAAGGTGATAATAAGGAGACTGAGAGGATGCATTTCAACTGGTTTCAGTATATTTGCCTTCAAACCAAAGTGAGAATCACTGGTCCAGAGATGATTCTAAGTGAGGAAATAGGTAGAATTGGGTCAACCTGTGACTATTCATTTCTCTTCTCCATAATTACCAAGCTTAGGGAAGAATGTGGCCTTGATGTCAGTTCAAATGAGAAGCGTAGCATTTCAGAAGCACTGGACATTTTGAAAGATAGTTAACTTTTCCTTCACTGAAACATGTCTTTGAGCATGCTAGGAATGCACTCGATTACTCTGCTAAGTCCTCATCTCTAGATAGTTAATGTTCTGATAAGACAGCTATTTCATGAAAATCCTTGAAAGTCTAACAAGATATACCAAACCAGGCTCATTTTGTAAACAGCAGACTCTATAGGTTTATTCTTTGAATACCAAAACTTGTTATTCTTTGTATATATGCCAATGAATTTGAAATGTAAAAGATTATTTATATCTGATAATTCTTTAGTATTTCAGTTCACTTTTCCCCTTTGAATTTCCATATTTTAATACTTTATGCTTATTATTCATGATTTATTAGATGTGGTTCCTATGTCTTCTCAAATGAGTGAATCAAGCAGCTTTCAGTTTGTTAGACCAGAGGATACAGTAAAAGAAGATACACCACTGTCCTGCATGGGTATGGAAAAATAGATTAGTATAATAAGTATATATCTAAGCTGATCAGTTCACAGAACTTTCCTCAGTGCAACTGAATTATACTTTCCACTGAACTGTTATCACAACTTTGGTCTTACTATATAGGAGGACAAATGGAGGAACAGGATATATACCTGTAATAAAGTTGATTAAGTGATTGTTACAGGCTACACTAAACACCCATGCTGTTAAATTTTTACTTCATTTTATATATTTATGCCCTGAAGGTCCTGCTTTGCTCCTCTGATTAGATATCCCCATTCCCTCAATCAGTACACTTGTTATGTGTACATTGCCTATTAGATTTATGGTAACTGGAAATATAATCTCACTTTTGGAAACTTAACTCCATGTTTAATTAAACCAATATTTGGTGTTTTCCTCCAGTATATTTGATTCATGTTGCTGTACTCATTAAAAAAAAAAAAACAGCAAACACAGAAGCCCAAAAGCTAAAGCATTCTTCATCAAAGCTAACCCATGGAACACGGCCCCATGTTGATTCAGCAGGAAGGTGTGGGTGGTTCTGTCATATTTATGTTTTGTGGATTACATATTTCTTTTGCTTTTCAGCATTTCAGGATTTCACACATTGTTTTGTGAAGGTAATTATAAACTTCTATATTCATCTTGAATTTATTGACTTTATTGTATAAAATGTACAACATATATTAATATCTGTTTTCCAAACCCATACAGCCAATCCTAGACAGGAGGTGTTTTCTTCAAAAGAATATAGTGAGGAGAACAGAAGAAAGACTATGCAAATCAGGTAAATTTTGCAATGCAAGTTCTGTAGAACTATAATAAAATATTTGAAATGCTAGGAGATTTTTCCCTAATTAGTGGGGGGATTTGACAAAAAGTAAACCAGTGTCTACCTTGGCATACAAGCTTAAAAGTATATCTTTAAAGACACAGCAAAATGATTTCTAAAAAATCTTTATTATTTTTAAATTTTAAGTTCCCCAGCTAGAATCCTTATGCTTGTTAGGTGAATTACAAGGCCCCATTTCCCCCTAGAGTTTATAAAAACTTATTGCATAGCTGCTGATAATTTCCAAATCTTGGGATTTGAACATACAAATATTTGTATGAACCCAGGGATTAAGGGTAGTATGTGAAATAAGACCCACTTAAAATTTAATTTCTAGTATAATACCCACTGTATTGAATAGTTACATTGAACTGTGTTGCACTTGATGCATCTGTTTATTCTGTGCCTGTTGTCACTAATGTGATGGTGATAATCCATACAAAGTATGATTATTTATTTTATTCATTTCCTGTAAAACTAATAGAGTATTTGTAGAAATTTACTATTTTCTGAAGTTGTTTTTAGCCCAGAGTTATAAATTCAAACTTATGTACACAAACCATCATGTATATTCCCTTTTCATGCTTTCTTTGCTTGTTTTTTGCTTGGTTGTTTGTTTTTTGGTTTATTTTTCAATGGTGGGTACTGAGCACAGATCCTTTTGCATGCTAAGCAGTGGCTCTACCACAAAGCTTTTCCCACAGACTGCTCTGATTCATTGGAGGGTTGGGTAAATCCAAAATGAAGGAAATCGCCCCCCAACCACTGAAATGAGTCCCTTCAACATAGGAAAATGTGAAATGGAAAGACTACATGGTAAACCCAAAGAACTTAAACAGTTGCTATTTTATTTCCCATGTCATTTGAAACTTTGTATAATACTCCAGAGCCTCATATTCCAGGGACTGGCTTTGTCCTTTATTTATTTAATGAAACTTCATTCTACACTGATCCCAGAAAATGATATATCCTCTGTGTTTCTCGGGACATTTTCCCATTCTGGCCTGCCTCCCTCTATTGGGCACTTCTGCTGCCTGTTCACGTACATGCTCTCCATACTCACCCCCAGCATTTGGAGCTGTCTAGCTACAATGCAAATGTGACCATGAACTTTTCTCTAGAACATGAAAGGCCAGCTTTTAAGATTACCCAGAAATCTCTCATGAGTTCCGCCGAACTCTTGAATCCAGATCCACTTCCCCTGCCTTCACCGTTCTCTGGCCCTGATTCTCACCAGTCTCTATTTTCAGACTCATTTAATGCTTGATCCTGTGTCCAAATACAGCCTTTCAAGCTCTCCCCACCTTCTGCCTCTGGCTGGTAACCTTAGTCCTTTAGTCTCTGCTAAGTTTCAGTTCCAGGAAAGCCACTATCTCTGGTACCTTTTTTCTCTACTCTTACTTCTGGGTTCAAATAAACTGTTGTTGCCAAGGTGATGTAAAACAGGTCCCCTCAAGTCCAGGAGCCAAAGGGCTAGACAGGAAAAGGAGTAATTTACAGGTTAGCTGGTAGATATCCAGTTGAACAGTGGCTGAAATGCTAAGGTACCCCAAGGAAAGGAAAACCACTTTATGACAAGGAGATTCATAATCATGCAGGACTGAACAAACAGACTGTCTTACAAAAAAAAAAACCCCACATTTTTCAGAATAATGAAGAAAAACGTTGCAGATACAGGTGTTCATTGATAACAGTGTAGAAAATATCAATCATTGTGGAAATGACTATTGATGAGTAGTTGTTTTTAAAAGTTACCATTATGAAGGAAGAAAATAGCAAATAGTGTGAATTCCCACATTTGTATAGTGTTCTTAAAAAATTTAATTCTGGCAACTTTTCATTCATCTTGAGCGGATATAACTTTGAGACATTTTTGTGTATTGAATCTGGTGATATGTAGTGTCTCCCGGGTAGAATGTTGAAGTTTTATATTACTAAAAGCATCCCCTGAAATAGTATCTGCTGGGCACAGTGGATCACCCCTAAACCCAGCTACTTGGGAGGCTGAGACAGGAGCACAAGTCTCAGGTCAGGACAAACACTTTAGAGAGACCCAGCCTCCAAAAAAAGTGGGGGGGATCTTTTGGCTACAACTCAGTGGCAGAGCACTTCCAACATTGCAAAGTCCTAGGGTTAAATCACCGAGGACACACAAGTATACCCCACCAATAAAGAGTTAAAAAGGTAAACAGTCACCTAAAATGAAAGCTTACTATTTTTATTTTTGACAGACTCTCTGTCTTAATGTTCTCAGTAGTTTAAGTAAATCTTACATGCATTTTTCAGACAAACCACTTTGGTTCTCATCATCAGAAGAGGAGGAGGAGGAGGAGGAAGGTCTTGACGACACCCAAAATAAGCAGCCACAGGTGTGAACACACATCCTTTTAAACTCCTGGTTTTCTCCTGTTCTCCTTGTTTTAAGAAAGTCCGTAAGGCCAAATTGAATTATCTTTCATTACAGTGCTTCGAAATCCAAAGATGGTAATTTAATACTCAAGTCTAAAAGAATTTAACTGGTCATGAATCTGAAAATAACATTAGAATTTATCAGAACATACAGGGAAATAGTATCCTTGTGATCAGGAAAGGAAATTTTTCGGAATATTGTTTCTGCTTCCATTTTTCTAACCCCCTTAAATGATGAAGAAGTTAAATGTAGTTGTGAATATCCATTTGAATTAATAAACATATACAGTGGCAATGGCCATTGAGTGCATTTAGGGTAAAGGATGGTCCTCCCAGGGGCTCACTTTTACTTACATACGAACATGCTTTCATGCCAAGGGGAAAGATTTTCATACAGCCTAGACATCAGCTCAGTGTGTCTCTCAATGCAAATAGTAACCTCCAAGAAGATACCAATGGCCTATTAAGGAAAGTAAAACTTTGCAGAATGGGACCATTGCTTTGGGGTAAAAGCAGGAACTCTCTAGGTTTTTTTTTTTCCCTTTTCAAACCATAAGGCAGTCAATATTATTAAACATTTTTTTTCAACTTGTTTAGTGAGTGATAGAAAAAAAAGTCTTTGAATGCTGTTATTCGAGAATTAAGCAATTTGAAATGTTTCTTGCCTTTTCTTCTCACTTTATCTGTGTTAGTAAGACTGAGGTTTTGCAGGCATTGGGATGGATTTCTGTTCTCAGGATGTGTGTGGGCCCTTCAGTGCAAAGTCCTTTAGTGCCCTGGGCAGGGGTGATATCTCAGTGTCAAGTACCCAACTTGACATGACCAGCGGGTACTATGATGACCCACCAGGACATTTCTAAGAGTAGCTGGTAACTTCCAGTAAGAATGACAACTTAAAGCAGAACATGTATCACCTATTAAGAAAATGCTTGTTTAAAGTGATCACACGAACTGGAGAGGAGAGATGAAGAACAACAGTGTACACCTGGCTGAAAAAACAGGCAGTTGTCGTCATAAAATTATTAGGATGCAATTTAATAAGGGAGGAGAATGAAACGGATGTGATTAAACAGAGCTGGAGGACGAAATAGCAGAAAAAGTCATAACAATGAGAAAGTATTGGATTTCAGGTGGCAAGAAGAGGGGGGTACAGGGGAAACATACAAGGAAGGAGCCAAGATCTCAGAAAATGACATGGAACAGGAAGAAAGAAAGAATGAATGAGGAAACCCCCTACTCAATAACTGACACAAAATACAAGAGCAATGAGAAAAGCGTATAACTTGTCCTTGTTAATAAATTGAACTTGGGGAATTTCTATCCAGGGGTCTCCAACTATAGAATCCAAAACCATGCAGGGATTGCTTGGAGGCAGATGTTGTCCCGTGCTTTTCTGGTCTCTCAGCTCAAACACACGTGATCTGCTAGTGCCGGGGTTTCCTGACATTCTTTGAGCATGGCAGATGAGGTCTGTTGGCAGAATCTACATTGTTCTGGAAAATGCAAGAACCTATCTTCTCACCAGACCTTGCCCCCGCTCTCCTTTACCTTTCTGCCTCTCGAATTCCTGCACAGCTTTTCTCCCTCACAACCACTGTTCTCCAAGCACCTATTTGGAATGTGCAGTGCCCCTGTTGGCCTCTACTGTATAGGTTGTCCAGTTGGCACAGCACACCTCGTGCTGATGAGAGTTTTCAGCACGTTCCCTTCATCTCTGCTGTAGGCCATAGTATGAGGTCACACAACTGCCATCCCATGAGGAGAGCTTGAAGCTGTGCCTGGGGATACAACTCATGCACTGCCTTCTCATCTCTCAGACAGACCCTTCCACAAGGGGCTTGACAACAGGGATCCAGTGAAATCACCCTTCTCTTCTAAGAGAAGAGCTTAGAATCACCTCTATGTCAAAAGTGGGAGCAAACACTCCAAAAGCCACTGACCATGTTGGGTTGACCGTACCTGAGATGTCTGCTCACATGTGTGGTACTGCATGCCATGAGTTTCCTGCCAGACACATCCCTGGCGTGACGTCACAGAACTGCAAACACCACATCAGAAGGAAAGTGCCCTGGGTTTTTCTAGTCCTTCTGTAGATCCCGAGACCTGGTGTAACTGCCCAGAACTCTCAGCATCTCTGATGTCATTTATCTCCCAGCCCAGCCTGAATAGTGTTGGGTGTGCCTCCAGAGCCACTGAATTCAGGACACAGTATTGTAAAGAACTTTTTTAAATGCTGGAGTTCAGTTTCTAGTCATTTCTATGAGAAATGACTAGAAAAAGGACTCTGAGTAAAGTTGGCTTCTGTTCAGCACCCTGATACTGCTAGCAGGAATTTGTAGTCCATCCATCCATCCTTCTTGGGGCTGGTTGTATAACTTGCATGTTGCAAATTGCACTGCTACAGACAGCGATGTTGACGCGTGTCTCCCTGATAAGCTGATTCTTAGTTCCTTGTGATAAACGCCAAGGCATACTGTGGCTTGGTGTCGAGGTGTTACATTCCTAGCTTTCTTGAGGAAACTCCACACTGCTTTCCAGAGTGAAAATTCTTATTTTCGGGTTCACAACGTATGAGAGTTAAGTGTCTACTTCTTTCCTCCATTAAATATGGGGCTGGCAGAATTCTTCTCCTCAGTTCACAAGAGGAAAACTTTCCCTTTTCCACCCCTTGCAATTTTCCCCTAACACTGCAGCAGGATATTTCTCCTGTGAATTTACTATTTTAAAAGCCAAAATTCTGGGCATCACTGGGTCTGCAGCTCTCTACACTGGTTCCCAGAGTTTTTCCACAGCAGCTGTTTCACTGGGAAACCTCACAGTAGTCAGTCACTGTGACTCAGCTCTGAAAAACATAAGGACATACTGTGTGTGGTTCTGCAGCCTTCTTTCTTCCGGCGGGGGATCTTTCTAGTTATCTCTCAGGAGAATATGTTGTTTCCTCTACCCAGATTGCATGTGCTGTTTTTCAACAGTAAGAAACATTTCTTTATCTTACTTTGTCATTTTATTGAACTAGATTTCCTCTAAGTGAAATGTTTACTAAAAGCTCTTTAGATCTTGTGAGGCCATGATGACCAAAATGAGGCAAGTCCAACAGTGTTTCATTTCTGCTTCACATCACATAATTCCAACCCTCTACTCACAGCAAGCCTCATAATTGAACACTAAAAATTTCTGTAAATTCATTTTTGAAAATGTGTGATGCCACATAACATTAAGTGTATTTCTCAAGATGTTCTATTTAAGTATATACAGTGTTGATATTTCTCATGGGGATGCGAGATAGGGTTGCTTACACTGCATTTAGTGCTGTTAGAGTACAAACATGTCTAATATGTTGGCAGGGAATGTGTTTTCAATGAAATCATCACTGCTTTAACCAGAGGAACTTAAGAGTTCAGCTCTATCTGAAAAAAAAAATGCTAGGTTGCCCTAGTGAAATTATGCTTCTTCAATCTCTAATTCTCGACATTTTACTTAGCTGCTTTCAAGACCAAAAATTGGGTGATGTCTAAAAGGGTGGTCATGAAATCTTCATGCATATCAATGGGTTCATTCATTTTGCAGATACTCTCTGAGGCTCATCCGCAGATGCTCATATCTCAGTCATCTGGTGAGAAACATTATAGAGCAAAGGAGAAAGCAGACGGACATGACCATGGTAAGAACAACACCCTCTACACAGTTCTGGGGGTGGAATATCGATTTCTAACAAGAGCACTGGTTACTCTAATACTTGGAGAAATGAACCTAGTACACAAGTAGAATTGAGAAAGCCAGAAAGATATTATGAGTTATCTCTGTTAAAACCCAAAGTCCAGCCGCAGGTTACACTGGGGGTGTCTCTCTTAGTTTCTTACAACACACGCACGGATCACAGGGGAGTTGGAAGTCATGCAGTGCAGAGGAGAAAGGGTGATAAACACTGAGAAGGGCAGAGAGAGAGAGATCACAGCGAGTAGATGAAGGAGAAATGAATTCTTCTCGCCCTTTAGGTTGGGAACCATGATCTGGAGGAAACCTGACTGTTCTTGGAAGGCACATGAGGCAGGGAAATGAGCAGCAGACTAAGTAGAGACCCAGACTCTCCAAGTCTAATAGATCCTCTGTTGGGGACCCTGTAGGAAATGCACATTCTGATGAGCTGGTCTGTGCATCTGTGCTGCTTAGGGTGGAGCTGATGCCAGTCACCAGGATCTGCAGGCCACGCTGTAGAGGGGTCAGGAAAGGATTTCCCTTTAGCACTGCTAGCTGCAGAGCCAGTGGAGCATCGAGTGTGATCAAGGGATTGCATATATTTTCTTTCATTTCTGATCTTGTCTCTACCAAGGGGGAAGAACTCAAGTACAGGATTTATATTTCTTAGGTCTGCTCACTAAATTGGGGAATAAGGAGGAGTGGGAACAACCCATAGACAGAACATCAAACAGAGAATCCAGACCACAGATTGATATATTGTTTTGAAAACTCCAAGGAAAGGAGAAATGGGGAATGAATGAAGTTAGCTGCGTAATCTTGGAGAAATGATGGGGAAACTGAGAGCAGGCAATTCAGGTGCTATCTGTATATGTAGCTTCCAAAATATGTGACACTCTGTTACCCGTCCATCATTTGAGCCACGAGGGGCTGGTAGAGTTGGGAGAAATTGCAGCCATGACCGTCTCCTCTCAGTCCCCACCAGACACACTGCTGGCTGTGGGTCAAGTAGAGTCATTCTGAGGAGCAAAATGACATTTCAGAATCATGGATTGTTTTTAAGATACCTGTTGCTTCTTTCTTTCCTCCCTCCTCCACCCACCCCCCTTTTTCTCTTTTCCTACTTTGTTACTGAGGTAAATCTTCATGAATACCCTTAACAAATGAGCAACTACAGAGAATAAAACTCATTTGTATACAGAAATCTTCACTTATTATTCAAACACTAAAACTCTTGGTCATCTATGGGTGTTTGTGTGTGTCTCTCTCTGTGTGTGTGAGAGAGTATGTGTGTGATGAATGATCACTGACATCTGATAAAGCTGTGACCTTCCATTTCACCTTGGCCCTTTGGATCCCCATGACTCAATATTTCACACTGATCAAATCTTATATCTTAGATGTGGGATCAATCTGTTCTCACTTGAGGGGATCACGAAAGTCTAATCCAGTTACGCCACAGAATACAGGAGAAGAGGATGCACAAGAGGAACCAGCATCCTACAGGGGTAGGAGAACAAACCATAGGTGTCCTAGTGTCCCTGTCCAAGTACATATCTCAGCTCACTACTTCACATGTCTCACTTTGTGGAGAAATGAACCTGACCTTTGACTGGAGTCTGGGCTCAGCTTTGGCCTTCCTGAACCAAAATGGAAGGACAAATGGAGGAAACGTAAAAATCATAGGGATCAAAAATTCCCACAGGTTTCTAGAGAGAGATGTACTTTGGCTGGTTTTGTTTCCCTTTTTACTTGGGCTTTGCCATTGAATCTCTCAGGGCCCCTCTTGGAGGC